AAAAGAAACTCTACATGAACTTGGATTTCAAGGGAGATTTAGCAAGCGATATTCTCAAGAGAAGAACATTCTTTGCAGCACTGCTAAGAATAGTGTTCTCCAGTGGTCCACTGGTCTGCAGAAGCCTCAAGGACAAGATCCCGCATCTGACCACTTCAATGTGCATATATCAGTTCACCTGCTGCTGTGGAGCCAGGTACATCGGTCGTTCGACGCTCACCCTGTCCAAGAGGATTCAGGAACACTATCCAGCATGGTTGCGAAAAGGCAATAGTGGTGCAATAAGGAGCGCGATAATTGAGCCCCTGGTTAACACTGATCATTCCATTTCAACAAAAGCCTTCAAAGTAATCTGCAGAGTCAAGAATAACCTATCAAAGGCAATACGGTTTCGCCTTCTTTGTATCGCTGAAGCTCTGGCCATTCACATAAAAAACCGGAGCTGTGCATACAAAAGAGGATTACTCAACCACTTCTACTGTCATGGTAACAACTTTTTTTGATTTTGATTACTTAATTTTGTTTCTTTGCCTGTTTTTTAATTGCTTATAATTCTTGTATTCATTTAGAACTCTTACGAAATATTTATATGGCTAGCTATATTTGTCACTGAATGTTTGTTTGTTTTGTGTGTGTGTGTGTATGTGTGTGTGTCTATGGAAGGAATCATCACTGAAGTATTTTCTAAATCTTATTAGCGTGACAATAAACAATGATTGATCATTTGAACACGTGTCAGTGTGGCGAAAATAACGTTGGCCAAGCAACCATGCCTCACGTGGTCCGGAGTTCTATCTCTGGACGTTACAGACGCACTCCTAAACCTCACTGTAAACTGGTAGTTAGGCTGGTCGGTAAAGATGGAAGGTGAAGTGTGAGGTTAGCTAGCTAGAATTGAGAAAAAAACACAACCCACTGCCACCGAAATTTCAAAGTCCTATGTTCCACTCAGAACGTAGATGAATAAAGAGAAAGTGTGACTTTGTTGTTTACGTGTAGACCTGGGCGTGTTTGTGCATAGTTATCAAAACACTTAAGAGCTATTTCCTTATTGTATATATTTATATAAATATATCTTCAGAAAAATAAGCGATGTAGTCGCCTAGTTGTTTTTTTTTATCATAATCGCTGATATAGATATTTAGATCGAAATGATGATATGGGAAGGCTAAATTGTTTACCACTTTTTGTTAACTAATTCTCTTATGTATAATGACTTTTGAATTCATTTACTAGAAAGAAATTTAACATGTTCAAGTGTTTCTTTTTGCAGAGATTTGATTGGTTACAGGATTCTATCATGAGCTGGCATCGATAGGAAAACCATTGGAAATCTAGCACTGGAGTACTCGACAACCATTTGTTTCGTGCAACTGTGTTTTGGACTCTTTGTCAGTATGCACACACCGCCAGCCGGGTTCGAACCCAGGAGTTTCCGGTTACAAGGCGAGTTCGTGGACCATTCAACTTTTGGATCAGGTCTAAGTGGCTGAATGGTCCATGAGCTCGCTTTGTAACAGGAGGAGGGTCCTGGGTTCGACCCCTGGTGGTGGGTGAGTATTGCCGAAACTGGGACGAAAAATCTCTCCAGACCTTACATGTATCGGGATATGAGCCATACATTGTGCCAAAGACTAGAGGTGGAATAGGTGAAGTTTGATTTAGACCCGACCCAGTAAATACTATTGACTACAAGTCGAATGCTTAAGCCATATCCCTACTGCATATTTACTGAAGTCATATAGATTTTCGATTAATTATGCGAATTGTTTACTTATACTCAAGTGATTGACCTATCCAGTGAGTAGTAGTGATTCATGTTTAAGACTGATGACACACCTTGTTGTTGATCATATGGATAGAAATAGAGCTTCCTGGGGGTTGTTAACCTCTCTCGTGTTTGTTTATGTGTACTAAAATTGCTTATTTTTCTTAGAGAAATTTGTAACTGTTCTACAAAGTCCTCCTTCTGCTCTAGCTGTAAAATAGTTATGTAATTTAGCTCTACCGGGCTTGAAAAAATATGAACTGTCATAATTTCATATCGTATTTCGGTCCGCTCATCTTTCTTGCTATGTTGTTTTCTTCTTGTGTGTCTACTCAACACCAGCAGCAACAGCTTTCTCTATTTTAATAATTCAGAGGATTTGTTCACCAACTACATCGGCCTATAAGATTTCTAACTCGTTTTTAAATGTTTTTTATTAATAATAATAGTTATTACTGATGTGGATTTCTTTTAAATTGGTGGATGGTGGTGACTTACGAGTAGTGGAATCCAGGATGCTGTTGTCTACACTTTGTTTTGCCTGAAACCTTAAAATAGCCATTTTAAGAAGTTATTGCTCACTGGTGTGAGCCCTTTGTTTTTCCTTCTCTTCCGATTGCTGTATTCCTATTGGCTGTTAATACTTCCAATGCATCACTGAAATTACTGCATCTTCAAGGTCATTCTAACTGTATATATAAAGAGTTTCTGTTTAGTACTTTGACTGTTGTTTCAGACAGTGATAGCTCTCTTATCGACGTCCAGTCTTTTCTTTTGTCTTTATTCTTAATGTTGTTGTTTTTGACGTACAATAAGGACGGATTAGCCAGCTCATTAACTTAGTTACAGGATTTTATCATGAGCTGACATCAGTTAGAGAACCATTGGAAAACCTGGGAGTACTGGTGGGTAGTCAGGTGGGTAGTCACCTGGGGTTCTAGTGAGAAGTCGTGACCAGTAGGGTGCAGCAGGTCGGGCGTGAGGACAAATACTCGCCGAAGACATTGGCTAGGGGTCGCGCTATGTCGTGAATTGGCAGAAGTTAGAATTCATGGTCCCAGTGGCTGCTGAATGGTCTACGAGCTAGCTCGCCTTGTAACCAGAAGAGGTTGGGTTCAAATCCCGGTGGGTGCATACTGCTGTGGAAGAGTCCCAAACTAGGACGAAACAGCTGTCCAGTACTCCCAGGTTTTCCAATGGTTCTCTAACTGATGTCAGCTCATGATGAAATCCTGTAACCAATCAAATCCCTACAAACCAACACTTGAAAATTATTAACTTAGTATTCACTCATAACCCCCTAGGTCATAGTTCCAATCATAACAGATATAAATTTCGTCCTAAATGGGGTTGGCTCATCAGCTGGAAGAACTTGCACTTCACTGTGAGTGATTGTGTTCGCACTGAGGCTGGAACACAGTTGCCGTAGTTTCAAACACTAAAGCGTTATCCACTAGACCACTTGTTTCAAGCTCAACTACCCGGTTTGGAGGTGAGCTGAGGTGTGATGATATAATGCAGTTACGCACAGGCTGAAGTAGATGGAGTAGGACTAGAAACTGTGACCCATCGGTTGAATTAGGCGTTAGTTATCGATTGGCTAGATATTTAAGTAAGTGTTACATTTTGTTTTGATGAAGTTTTGTCACCTCATCGAAGTTTTCAATCAACTTGGCTCAATGTTCACTTGGTTGATGTAAATATGTGTGTATGCTGTGATTCTGTCCTCAGTAAAACTGTCGTTATATACATATAATATATCATTCTTATTCATTCATCTATTCTTCTGCTTCTTCTTCTATATACGACTGTGTCTGAGTAGGGGATAACGTCGTCGCTGTATCAACTGTTTCATAGTTAGTTGTTGTTTTCTTTTGTTTCATCCAGACATATTTTATTATTTCTATCCAGCATTCAACTTGAGTGTTTAAAGACGTCCATCGTTTTTTTTCTTCTAAAACGTCTAATCATTTCGAGTTTATTTTTTATATCAGTCTAGGAGGGGTGACTAATTGGAAATTAGAAAAAAGGGGGTAGAAGTTGGCATGACGTAATAAGTGTGAGATAATGACTTATCACTATAATTGTATAGAGTGGACAAGAACTATGTTATTAATGTCATTAATAAACAGTAATTGAGTGATAATAAAATAAGCATGATGAGAATAATAATAATAATAAACTTACATAATAAAAGACAGCAGAATTATAGTAAGAACTTTACTCTGACCACAGTAGGGGCAAGGGGAATGTATGTGATGCTTTTGAATGCAGAAGCCCGGTTTCAAATCCCGAATAGCCAATGATTCAGCTATGATGTACAGATGGTGTATTCGAAGTCCTTTCAGACGATATTAAGGAAATCTGTGTAGCACTGTGAAGGATTCATGCGTGGCTGGCTCGATAGCCAGAGTTGACAAGGTATTCTTCTTTTCTCCTCTGGCTGGCTAGCCAAACTTGACGCTGCGTACTGCCGATATACTTTGCTCCACACGAACAAGTAAACTGATAAATATACACCACTGACGTGGGTGGCCAAAAGCGATATTTTATCCTTATCTTTAGACTGGATTAACTGAGTAAGGTGGCTGCTTTAAATGTCTTCTTCATTCACTCAATAGAATGACGGTTGCTAAGAATTTCTGCTCATGAACAGAGTTTTCTTAGGAAAACAGTTGTAATTTTTTTTAGCGACAAAGGCTTCTCCTTCATGTTTTTGTCGATAAATTTTGGTGGACACCTGTTCTCTAGTAGGGTTTCACGTAATGAATTTACATTCATTCTTTATCGTATCTTGCGAAAACAGACTTTTCTTGTGCAGTCTATGAAAATTTGATATTATCATTTCATTATTGTCTAATATTAACCCTATTATAATGAATTTGTGCTAAATTTCTCTAATTTATATATGTGTATATGTATACGCACATTTAAATATATGTAACATACTCACCAAGAGTTCATGTTATCCACTTTTGTGTTGTGTAATAATCACTAATAACTAATTTCACAGAAAATGCACCCCCACGCCTACCCACCTCACTTTTAAAAATGAGTTTTCATCGTTGTTGTTTAATGTTGTTGTTGGTATTGTTGTTGTTGTTATTTATAAGTTAGTAAACGAGTTATTTTTATGCCTAATGTTTTCTTTTTTTATTGTAATACTAATTGTTTTGTTTGTTTATTTATTTATTTATTTTCTGATATCTTTTTTTTCCCTCTCACTGTTTAGAACACTTCCTCATCGAAAACGTCCTAAAGATAATATTTCATCGTGTAATAATAATTCAAAGCCTATTTCAACGAATTATAATAACAACGGTCCTGTAATTAGGACTGACAATAATAATAATAGTAATAATAACAGTGCTAATAGTCATGATATTATTGATGTCTTGTATCCTAATGATCAACAGAGATTTCATCGTAATGATCCTAATCGTTCTACGGATAATTGGAGTAAAAATAAATCGAAAAATATCTCAGATCAGTCTACGTCGTCTACATTCAGTGATAGTCCTTCTTCAACACTCGGTGCCTCATCATCTGGTACTATGGATTCATCTAAAGTTATGCAGCAGCAGCAGCAACAGAACATAAATAAATCAACTAAACATCATCAGATTGGAATACCTGATTCAATCTGCAAGGCACTTGATACACCAACAACAACTAATGATGATAATAATGATAAGTCGTGTCCAAAATCTCCAGTCTTCAAATTACCAACAAATACAGCAGCAACAACTACAAGAGATTCGCTTATTAAATGGTCAGTACGTCATCGACCGAACAATACCACTTCTACCGGCACCAATGCTACTAATAGTAGTAGTAATAACACGACTAGTAGTTTAACGTCTAGAGAATGTAGACAGTCATCACCAAAGAGTACAGGAACGAGTAACTTGAATACAAATCAAGGCGTAAGTCTTCCTTCTGAAGTGAAAAATTCTTCTGACTCTTCGTCAGTAACATTAGAGACGACAACGACTGCAGTAAGGGCTCAGAAGAGTGCTTCTATGAAAGCTCGATCTGGACGATTTTTCCGTAGTTTAACGACTAGAATCGCTCGAAGGTAAGTAATCTCCATCTACCGACATGTATGGTGTTGCATGTTTAAGTGTTTCTTTTTTGGATTTAAACTTCTCTAAGGATATAAAATTATTCATATAAGGTGGTTGTTACCCAACATATGCTGAATTTTCGTTTCCCGACCTTAACGTTTGTTCTTTGCTTGAAGTATAAAAGTTACCCTCTCTTTATAATATTTCTCACTTCATGAGAAGACAGACTGATCCCGGTTCTAAAATAAATCTGTTGTTTTGCTGCAAGGCTAATGCCTGTTGTTAAGATGCCACTAAACATGGACTTGTATAATTCTTCAATTCTAAGAAGTACTTGCTTCTTTGTTTCTGTCCGTTCTCTAGACCATAATTGACGTTCCTTTTGGTTTATTTCTTACATAAAAACAGACTACTTGCTAGTAGTTAGGTGCTACATTTGTAAAGTTATTATTGTTGTTTCCTTGGATTCCGAGTGGAACATAGGACCTCAACATCTCCACTTTCTTCTATTTTCTACTGACTTATTTAGCCCACAGTTGTTCTTCATAGCCCATCCCCTCCTTGTACAACCCAGTTGTCATTTTCCACTCAGGTTCCACTCAAGCAATCGCCTGGCGCACGCGATATATATATATATATGCATATATAATCTTTGAAGTAATGTGGATTGCGACGAAATAGTTGTGATTAAAATCGTAGTTAGAAATCTAGCGATAAGTTACTTTATGCAATGTATAAAATGCTTCATGGGGATGCATAAATCTTAGGAAGTGGAGGGGTGTACAAGTAATAAGATTAGTGGGCAAGTAAAACATTTCGCAACAAGTTGAGAATCTGTATAAGGTATTGCAGCATCTTCCCGTTACAAGACAAACTCATAAAAGTCGGATTTCATGAGCTGGACATTGTGTCAGGTTCCAGTAGCTGAGTCATCTACGAGCTTGCCTTTTTAAACCAAAAGGTCATGGGTCCAACCCCTGTTGTGGGTGTGTACTGCTGATGAGTCTCAAAATAGGATGAAACAGCTGGTAGTCCAGTACTGTGCGGTGCTGGTTCTCAACAGTTCTCTAAACGCATATCAATCTATGGTCAAATCCCTGCAAGCTAACTCTTGAAAGCTGCTCAAATATTCCACTTGTTTGTCTGATGTATTCGATGAATATCCTCTAAATCGCATATACTGTGTACGTTTCTGTCTAAGTAATGCCTTGATAAACTCAGCTGTGCTTAGCGTGTAGTCTGAGTATTTATTATAACTCAACTGGGGTGGTCAGTCATAAAACTGATTACCGAGAAATTGTTCATTCGAATTCTGTTCTGATACAAGTTTTCTTGTTAACTCTACTTTCCCATCTATTACACACATCTTACACTATCAATCAGTTAGTTATCTATCTATAAGTAATCATTTAGAACATAGCTATTTCACATCACAGTATTGTTATAATCATTCATCATATAATAAATAATAAATTATTTTCTGCCTACCTGTCTACAAAAGTTTTCGATGCGGTCGTTTTAAGTCGGGGTGAGTTAGTCGGGTACTGTTGCCTTTTTTGCTTTCTTTTTTCTTTGTTTCAACCCAGCGATCAGGCTTTTTTCGCTCTGTATATTATCACACTTTTTGTTGTTCCTTCTGTGATATATATACACTAACAGATGGTGAATTGATGTGTCTGTCTGTCTGTCTATCTCTCTGTATGTGTGTTTGTGTGTATACATATGAGCTCTGATTGCTATTCTGCTTTCTCTAAATTAACTCTAACAGACTTTTGTTTGTATAACTTTCCATTTCATGCCTTTTACTTCTTTCGCTGCTTTTTCTAATATGCACCATTTTCGCCTCCATTTTTCTGTGATTTTCCTCACCTTTTTTATTTATCCTTCTAAATACTACTAAACGGAAAGAATTTGCAATTAATAGTGTTCTCTGAGCTGGTTGGTTTAGTTGCGAAGCTTTCGTCGTCCTTCTGGACAACATCTTCAGCGCCATATTTAACACAAAGTGAAACACTATTAATTGCAACTCATCCACCTGAGCTACAGATCTTCTCTATTATTTCAAAACGGACAGAATGTTATTTTGAAGGAATTTGGCGACCAACAGTGGAGTCCAGAATACACATTTCGTCCTATTTGGGACTCGTCATCAGGATGTAAGCCTGCTTTGAGACGACTCAGTGCCTCAGTACCGCTTGTTTTCAACGCCAAATAGGCTTCTTGTTTTGACTGGGAAATGCAGGTAGGTACTTCCAGATGACGAATACCACTGTTAGTCACCATCTACTCGGTTACCTTAAGTTTAACCCTTAGATATCGTCGAAACATCCGTACTAGAGGATGACACTATACCGATAGACATTTTCTCATCGAAATCATTCTCTTCAATGTGAGTGCTCATATCATAAGTGGGTAACTTACTCTGTACCTCCTTCTTTATATACATGTGTGCGTGCGTGCGTGTGTGTGAGTGGGTGGCTGTTAGTCTTCTAATCATGCTGAATCTGAACGTGTTACTTATTACATGGGAGTGGAAATAGAAATGCTTGTTCAAGTGATGGTTTGTAGGGATTCGGTTGATTGGTTACAGGATTTTATCATGAGCTAACATTGGTTAGAGAACCATTCGAAAACCTGAGAGTACTGGATAGCTGTTTCGTCCTAGTTTGGGACTCTTCAGCAGTATTCTCTTTACAATTAAACGAGTAACCAAGTTAGTCTGAGGGAAAAATGTTAGTTTTTATTGCTTAGAGAAGTTGTCATCATTATGATTGGTACAGCAATTATTATAGTAGTACATTTATTCAGTCTACAGTCGTTTAATTTTTCTGCCATTGAACTAAGGGATTAATTAAGGATTTTGAATGAAACGAATATGTCATAAAGGTATGAGAGTAATCACAATAGTATGTTGAATCTATCTGAGTTATCTACAAGATGGTCATTGTTTCTTATTCTTTTGAGTTCCCAGTGGAACATGCGTCTTGAAGGTAGAGATTTGAAGTTTCAATAGCAGTGGTATTTTTTTGTACGGGATAGGATTGCTAGCCAGCCTCATGTTCAAAATTCCCTTTTTACCGAGCTTAGTACCAGCTAACGGAGGTAAAGGAGTGCGTCTTTGCGTGGAGATCAAACCCCGGACCACTTTCTTGGTTAGCCAGTGTCCTAACATTTAACCACCGATATACTTTTCGGAAGAGCTGGGAGCACTGGGCAGCTGTTTCGTCCTAGTTTGGGACTCCTTATCAGGGCGTACCCACTGGGGTTCGAACCCAGCATCTTCTGACTATTCAGCCACTGGGACACAAGATGGTCAAGGACATTCCTTTCTGTCTGTATTAGTAATATATTCGAGTAACCCTGAAGTTAGGGAGCACGCAATACTGTAGTGTCATGTCATGTCATGAAATGTGGGAGTCAAGCACCAGAGAAAATATATATAGGACACATTGTGAAGCTGTGTGACTAGAGTGTTATAATTATGAGCAGCAATAATTTATGCTCAGAACCTTATCATCTATTTGTTAGTACCGCATCACTGTATGATATTTGAAATAAACTTGTCCAATATGGAATTAATTAAAGCCGCTTTGTACATTGATAAAATGTGATTAATTCTTTCATAATCAAAGGGAAAGAATATTCCTAGTTCAGAGGAAGACTTTTATTTCGCATCTGTATTTAATGTTAGCGGTTCTTTTCAAATCATTGGAAAATAACCATCAGGATATTAAAGAGTAAACAAATAGATTCAGTTAAGAGTTTTTTTGTAAGGATTTGGTTGGTTTCAAGTTCGATCACGGATAGACGGATAAGTTAGAGAACCGTTGAAAACCAGTGGCGAGTACTGGTCAACCACCTGTTTCGTCCTAGTTCAGGACTCGTCGACAATACGTACCCATCGCTAGCCAGGGTTCGAACCCATGATCTTCCGGGGGACAAGGCAAGCTCATAGATCATTCAACCACTGGGAGCTGCTGACTCAATGGCCAACCCATGAATTCTAACTTCTACCAATTCGTGATTTTCAAGTGTGACCTTTGTTTGCTGAACCCCTCTTTTCTCTCTAAGGTTTCTTTCCCTAACTGCTTCTTCTGCTTGTCTGCTGTTTTACTTGCCTTAAAACGAATCAATGAGTTACACGCAAATTGTGATTTATTAACACTCGTGTTTTTTTGCACATAATGTTACACACACACACACGTGTATATATCTCACTTCTCACGTATATTGATTCTGTTACATATTAATGTATGCATATATGCATAATTTACGCATAGACAAAGTAACACACTTACTTTGTAACACCTTTGTTTAACTGTACACATAATCACTTTGTGTATACAGGTCTTTGTGTGTGTGTATGTGTGTTGGTCTTTACGTATGACTGCATCGTTTCTGAACGTGGACTGATGGTGATTTACATCTATTCATTGTTGTTGTTATTGGTGGTGGTGGTCGTGGTGATTGTAGTAGTGGTTTGCTTCTGTTTGTCCATTTGTTTGTTTGTTTGTTTTATTCGACTTTTAACAATTCAACTAACGAAGTGGAGACAACCTGACACAGTCATTACTTCTTCTTCTACTTTAGTATGATTCATAATTTATGAAGTTGTAAACATTAAGGCTAACAACGATAGCAATAACTAAAACAAATAATAACAGTGATCAAATGTGAAGAGATTTGCAAACAGTAATTATTCGATTTATTGTCTTATTTTGTTGGTTTTTGTTAGACGCTAATTTCGTCAGCTTAATTTAACACGAATGAGTCATATATTATTTATTATTGTTCCCTGTTTACTGTCTCTACATTGCATTTCTTCTTCGACGGCACGTCTCCACTTTGTAATATCCCATCTCCTCCTCGTACAACCCAGTTGTGGTTTTTCACTCGGCCCCCCCCCCCCCTCGAACAATCGCCTGGCGCACGCTGTCATTCGACCGTCTCCTCGGCATGTGTTCGATCCATCTCCATTTTCTTCGGGGTGTTTGTTGAATAATAGGTTCTTGGTTGGTTTGTTGCCAGCCAGAGTTTCTTGTTGCTAATTCTCTCTGGCCACCCAGAAATTTTTTCTTCAATATGGAGCCAGCGAAGTTTGTGGTTGTTGATAAAAGTCTACCGCTGGCTGTTGGAAACGCCTTTCGTGACTCTCTAACCAAGTTTGTGACGCATATAGAAGAAAAATTGTTTGACTGATTTCACATTTGTTTCGGAAATCCGAATCGTGTTCTTTGTTCTGAGGTTGAGTGCAGAAGAATTCCAATGTGGCTTTAGGTTGATGAAGGTGTAGCTTATCTTGCCTTTCTGATTCTGGGTGGCTTTGACATCTTCATCCGTTCCGAGTGCCTGTACTTGAAACGATGGAGGCTAGATAAGTGAATGAAGTAGTTTCGTTCAGATTTCTTATGTTTATGGTGATTAGTGCTGGTTGTTGTTGTTCTTGGTTGGTTGTCTTCATCACCTCCATCTTCTCTGTGTTCACCTGAAATCCTGCCTTCGCTATCTGCTTCTCCTCCCAACTTGTTGGCTTTCGCCTATAGACTTCTGAGTTTGTATGACATCAGACATAAATCATCCGTGAAATCCAGATCTTTTAGAGTCTTCTTAGCGTTTCAGCATATTTCTGTCTTCTCTTTCCTCACGTACTGTGTGCCGCATAACCTAGTCGATCACAATTAGAAATATCATCGGTGATAATAGGTGGCTTTGTCTTACTCCATTCTGTCTTCACTTCAAAGGCTTCTTTGAGTTTTCTGTTGTGGATCACCTGACACGTGACATTGTCATACAGCTATTGATTGAGATTGATGAAGATATCCTTAGACCTGAATTAGCAGGTGTGACTTGTGTCATCAGCTGTATATAAGTGCGAACAGTTGTAGGGCCAGTCTTCTAGTTTGTTACATTACCATCGTCATCATCTCATGTTGTCTTTTTTAAGGTTCTCTTCTATGTGTTTCAAAATTTTGATTTCTAATTTGTCTTCCCGTTTATTGCAGTTTTATAGTTCAATCACAAACATTCAACTTTTACTATCCATCCATTATTGTTTATTGTCACCCATTTAATCTATGTAATTTCAAGTTAACGCCTTATCTATGAATATAAAGATTACTTCACCTAAGTTACTTGGCATTTACCTACCATCATGTATCATACTAACTTGTTATTATCTCCTTGGGTTTTGAGTGGAACATAGTCTAGTCTTCAGCTGTACATCTCCATTGCACCTAGTCATCCATCTGTGGTCTTTTTCATTTGGCTTTCATTTCCTCTTTCTATGATCTCCTCCATGTCACGCTTTCATGCGCCCCCTCCCCACCCTCCAGAACTCACTATTTCCCATTCCGGCTCCACTCAAGAGCTTGCCTAGCGTGCGTGACGTTACTCCATGTATTATGCCTCGTCTGTCTCCACTTCCTTCTGCATATTTGTCGGGAGTTGGATTCTTAATTGCTTCGTTACCAGAGTTCTTTTGCCCCTGTGCTTATCCTTCCTGACCGCCCATCTGATATCATCAGTATG